GACTCTGTTTTCAATATATACAGTTGAAGTCAGAATAATTAGCCCCCTGAATTATTAGCCCTACTGTTTATTTTTTTCTGTTAAACAGAGAGATTTTTTAGCACATTTTTAAACTATAGTTTTACTAACTACTTTCTAATAACTGATTTATTTGATCTTTGCCATGAAGACAGTAAATAATATTTGACTAGATATTATTCAAGACACTTCTATACATCTTAAAGTGACATTTAAAGGCTTAACTTGGTTAATTAGGTTAACCTGGCAGGTTAGAGTAATTAGTCAAGTAATTGTATAATGATAGTTTGTTCATTAGACTAGGGGTTCTCAAACTTTTCAACCCGGGACACCCAAATAAACAATGCCAATGACTCGGGACCACCACTAATCACTTTTCGGAAGTGGTTATAATCATACAAACACTGCACACAACACTAACACAAACCAATAGGCCTATATAAACACAAGCATATTGACAACACAAAAAAAGTGCTTATTTTTATTTAATATTAACCTCACCTTATGAGATTGGTGGGCACAATATTTAAGCTACATCACAGGTGTTATCTGCAGGAAGGTAGATCTTCAGGAACAGGATTGAGCACTGCACCATTAAAGCTAGATTTTGGATCTAGTTTTGGATCATCCTCAACACCTGGGCCCTCATGTACGAAGACTTGCGTTAAAATCATACTAAAACATTGCGTTCGCACAAACCTGTAAATGTGCGTACGCAGTAAAAAATTCAGATGTATGAAACACTGCGTACGCCGAATCACACGCATATTCTCTTCGTACATCCGGATGAACGTGAAACTGAGCGCAAAACCCCTCCCTGCCTCCTCCTCTGTATGAATATGCTAATGACTCTACTTTGGCAAAACCAAACGAAGAAGCAACAGGCAAAAGCAAGCAAAAAGAGAAACTTTGAACCAAATTTGAATTGGAGGTGCGCCTATCGGAGGCAGACCGGAGAAAAACAGTGTTATTTGCGAGTTTGTCCACCGAAATTAATAACAAAAGAAAAAAATAGAGGGTGAAAGCTGACACGGGTAACGCAGTGGGGTCTCATTGGAATGTAGTAATCGGGTGACAGTCGAGCAGCGCGAGTGGCGTAGCTCTTAAAGGCCATGTCAACATGTTTTGACACTGTCATTTCTAAACCAGGTTCGAATCCAGCGTCTGACGAAGTTGTTTTTCTTTTTTCCCCCCATTGCATATCAAATCTTGCCTACTCTTCATCACGAGGAAAACAAGTAGGGATCATTAATAAGTGTGTGTATTATGTTAAGCGCATTTGAGCATCATATTATTTGCGCATTTATTGAATGGAAATGTTTCCGATTCATGTAGCCTATGCACATTCGTCTTCAGATGACGCCTTTATAGCAATGTGCGTGCAGCAGATCGCTCCGATAAGATTGGGGAAACTGGCGACCGCTGCAAGTTGCTCTTTAATGTTTGGCTGGTCAACTGTATGGTATGGAAAACTTATATACCTGCTAGACATGCGGATGATCATGATCCCGTCTCAAACAGCTGCCAATGCACGGCTCAAAGACACTTTGCAGTGTTCAATTTAACATGATTGCCTCTAGGAGTCGCCAATGGAAATAAAACAGACACACACAAGAAATGCGCGTACGCCAGGCATGAAGTTGGCGTGGACCAGTGCACATTCTCAAGTTCATTTCATTGTTAGTAAACACAAACGTGAGCGTGAAATCTAGCGTACGCAAAGTTTTACTGCGTACGCACAGTTGACACATGAGGCCCCTGATGCGGAAACACCTGAACCACAGCGATCTAATTAGAAGGTGTTTCAGTCAACAAATCACCAACATTTACCATGGTTTTACTGTAGTAACACTGATATGAAAAGTAGAATGAATTCAATTTCTGTAATAATGTACTACATATATTAAAGGAGTAATGTATTATAATCTCAGTACTTTTATTATTAATTATTAATTCCGTTGCCAGTAGTTGATATACACACACACACACACACACACACACACACTGTATCAGACTGTTATATGTACAGGGGGCTCCCAACAAAAAAGGCAGGGATTTCCTTTTTTTGAACTGTAATGAGGAAAGCGCCAAGTTTGCAAGTTCTCCACGTGTTTGCATGGGTTTTCTCTGATTTCCCCCACAGTCCAAACACATGCGCTATAATTGAATTTAATAAATTAAACTGTCCAAGGTGTATGTTTGCGAATGAGTGTGTATGGGTGTTTCCCAGTTCTGGGTTGCAACAGGAAAGGCTTCCACTGTGTAAAACATATGCTGGATAAGTTGGCGGTTCATTCCGCTGTGGCGACCCCTGATTAATAATAAGAATAAGCTGAAGGAAAATGAATGAATGAATAAGTAAAGCCCACCTTTATAATGTACTGGTACGCTCCCTCTTTGGGTTGCCATGGAAACGTCAGGATGGCCGGTGTGAGGACGATTGGGTCGTAGATTTCCACGTCCTGCTCGTTACGCACAGGAACTGAGAGCGCGTGGACACTTCCTGCCTGAAGACCCAATCGGGGTTACAATACATCTCAATACTGTCAAACCACCAACACCGAACACTGCAACACATACTTGATCAACGACTGCTTTCAGTGTGCCATCAATGACTGTCTGACCCTGTTTCACAGCTTTCACATGGTGGTAAGACCCATTAACAGACGACTCCAGGACCTCAAAGTACTCCGCAGGGAATGTGGTTTCTATACGGATGTTCTGCAAAAACAAGAGATTTCAGTATACAAAAAAATGGATAAATAACAGCCACAAATTGTGAACTGGTTTTGTTCTGAAATACTTTTAAGAAGACACAAAAACATGTGGGCTGTTCTAATTAAAGAAATTACATTTATTATATTTTAGAGTGGACATTCAGACCACTCTAACTTCATTTTTATGAGTGTTTGGAAGCAGCAGAGTTAGTGATATCGCTTTGACTCACATGCTGAAAATGGCGGACGTGCAACAAGAAACTGAGGATATGATTGTGACGCGAGGCAGTCAATCAATATTGGTGGGCGGGGGGACCGCACTACGTAAAGTTGCTGTCGGTCTGAAAACTGCTCCAATTGGTCCACCGTTTTTATGTTGTTAAATTGAAAAAAAAAAAGACTGTGTGTGTTTATTTCACCCCAATATGACGGTATATACACTATACTTGCACACATGTCTGTCCAAACAGCTTAAAAAGTAGATTTTTCACCATCGGTGCCCTTTAAGACATCTCAAAGTATAGGTGACAACAAACTATCTTTTCTTTCTGTTTGATGTTTTACAATAATTTTAGTAGACACTTTTTTCCATTTATGTACTTCTCTGACATTCTGTATATAGTTTTTGTTCTCTTATACTTATTTACAAGTTTCTATATGTATATATTCATATATTTGTGTTTGTTTGTGTACATATATAATTTGTAATTTTTTGTATTTTTGTTTCATATTGTTATCAACCATGCTATTGAACCAAGTCAATGTTGAGAAATCCTGTCTATTACCATTGTTGATAACCATGTTTATTAAAAACACAATAAAGTTTAAGTAAAATAATATATATTTAATTAATCAGTTTTTTTTGACAGTCTACAGAACAAACCATCGTTATACAATAACTTGCCTAATTACCCTAACTTACCTAGTTAGGCCTTTAAATGTACTTTATGCAGTATAGAAGTGTCCTGAAAAATATCTAGTGAAATATTATTTAATGTCATCGTGGCAAAGATAAAATAAATCAGTTATTAGAGATGAGTTATTAAAACTATTATGTTTAGAAATGTAATGAAGAAATCTTCTCTCGGTTAAACAGAAATTGGGGGGGAAATTGGAAAAATTTAAAACTTTATATTAAGTGTCCTAAACTACTATGTACTTGCATCAAAAAATAAATACAAGGTACTTACCATGTTTATAATGTATTTGAGAGCACTTGTGGTGCTTTTGAGTTAGGATAGAGGTTGGGTTATAAACAGGTTTGGTGGCATGGGTAGTTTAAGGGTGGGTTAAGGTGTGGGGATGGTCAACAGTGTATTTACAAATTTAATTACAAAAGTTAATTACAGATGTAATTACATACTTGTATTTAATCAAGCATAAATACACAGTAAATAAATGTATTTACCCAAAAAGTACATTGTAGCAAACTATTAATTCCTGTTTAAGTACATATTGGTTAAGGCCACTTAATATAAAGTGGGACCGAAAAATTAAACAGGGGGGGCTAATAAATCTGACTTCAACTGTATGTTCTTTTTAAATGTTTTGGTAAAAAACTAAAACTTTTCCCCCATTGAACACAATATATTTTATTACGAGAAACACTTGAAATAATTTGGAACCGTACACATGTTAGGCTGCTTGATGAAAGCATGAACCAGTCCTCATTGAAAACAAAGCATCTAATTCTTCCAATGTTTTTGAGATGATAGTATGCTAAATTTACTGACTAACAAGAGAGAGATCGTCAATAATGGCCGTAATTTGCCACAAAACTGCGTTTAAAACTGCTTATTAAAGTGATCCCTTTAAATAGAGACAAAATTCAATTAACAAAACGTTCAACAACCAAGCTAATAAAAAGGAGAACTACACATTTTAAGGAGTACAATCATTTAGAAATATAATTTACACATTTTTGGAGTTTAATCCCACTAAAAACAATCAGAAATGATCAAAACCAAAACTCTTTTAATTGTCTAAGTAAACTTACATCAGACAGATAAATCTTGTGCCCCGACTTATCGAACACTTCAATGAAGATCTCATATTTCCTCCCCGTCTCAAGGACCCAGCGATCCTCTGGATGAATCTTGAATGCTGGTGCATGAGAAGATTAAAAAAAAGCAAATCAATAACACAACAATTCATCAGTTTTATAAGAATGCAATGTGCCAAAAGGGTAACCAAAGCAAAAGCAAACAAACCCAGGTATCCAGGCTCCACGACATAGATGGTGCTGTTGGGCAGACGAGAAGCTCCCTGCATCCCGAGACCTGGACAGTCAGAATGAAGGAAAACCTCTGGATATAGTTAGCAGATTCTTCATCGAATACCTCACACACTGCTCGGTTCAACCACGGACAGTTATCAAGAATCTGGGAAAGCGTGTCAATAGATTAGCCTGAAGGCCATGTGAAGGATACTCTTGTGGTCCAGCAAGATGTTGGTGTGTCCGTGTTGAAGGGCAAACACTGTCGAGCTGCTCTGGTCCAGGTTTGCGACAGGGGTGTTTAAGTTTCCATTAGGGGCGACTGCACTGTTCTGAAGCTGAAGCTCATACTGATCACAAGGCATGGAAAGCTCTGAAATAAAAGAGGACACACTCAGGACACAGACAGTAAGAGAGACCTACACACATGCATGTCTCTGATCTTGCTTTCTAGTATTTTTTTTTTTATGATTATTTATTTATTGCAGAACAAAGCCAGCATACATAGCTAGCAACAACTATATACAAGCCAGGTTTTGCATTAAATGAAAATACATTTTAAAAAAATGTAAATAACAATAATAGTAAAATAAAGACAATAAAATAATAAATGAATAACAATACACAGAAAAAGAAATTGCTTTCTAGTTGTAGATGCGAATATTTGGGTCTTGGTTCTGACGCGTTTGTTGTTTAAGCGGGTCAATAAAAAAGTGAAATGTCCATACCTTTGTAAATGAAGTTGGATATTCAAATCCATTTATTGTCTTTTCTCAAAATTAAAAGTAAACATCAAAACAAACATAAACCCGTTCTCACAGCACGGCGGTCAAAAAGTTTGCTGCGTCCCAAATGGCACACTATACACTATGCACTCATGCACTATGTACTTATGCACTTACACACTCAACAGTAGTATATGCATGTAGTGGCGTCCCAAATGGCACACTAATGTTTTTTTACTAAGCGGAAATTCAAACCGTTTCTCTGATGACGTTTGACGGTTGCCAAATCAGTGAAATAAACGAACGAATTATCAAACAATACCTGCCGTGAGTATAACCGCATTCACCATCGGGAGGCGCTATAATCACTCTCGTAGTAGAATTTTGCTTTCACCATCCAAAATAAATAAAGTTATCCAACATGTGCGTCCGATAGCTCCGCCCCTTCCGCTACGTAAGCAAACCTGCGGTCGTTGAGTGCGTGAAGTGTCCATCATCACACACTTCATTTACCGGCTGAATGAGTGCATCATCCGGGTAATTAAAGTGCACTTATTATTTTTAGAGTTTTCAGTGTGAACGCACTACTTACACTATTTATACCACAAAATGGCGTAGAATAGTGCATAAGTATGCGATTTGGGACACAGCTTGTTTCGTTCAGCTTCTTCTTCTATACATCGCTCACTCGTCGCGAGGAGAGCATAAATACCTTATACACCCTCTAGTGGTGCAAAAGAAAATTGCAACCCATAAATGGCTCCAACACTAGTTTTTAAAGAGAAACCGAAAACTCAATCTCTTATGCTGTTCTGCACCGGTGAGACTTGTTTTTCTTCAGAGCACAAATGAAGGTTTGGGTCCAATCCCAACTCTATTTTATAAAGATTATTCCCCTTGGCCCTCAAAACTGTGTCAGCTATAATTATATTTTCATTCTTTACCATTTTATGCATTGTTACTATCACTTACAAAGAGATAATCACCATGTATTTTGTCTTCTCGTACTGTTCAAGCAAAGGGTGCAAAAAAAAAAAAAAAGACTCCAGAGTTTTAATTTTATCCAAAAGCAACAATTTACTAGATTAAATTAATTAATTAATATATTACATTAAAATTCAAGCATTTTTACAAATTTCCAGCACCTGAACCAATCATGAGAGGATTCTGCTTGCTCTTAAAGTCTTCATCAAACTGTTTTTTTATTCCCAAAGTTGTGATGACATGAAAGTAAAAAAAACCCTGAAGAACCCCCAAACCCTGGTGAATTTGTCTATGTGTCTCCACTGACTTAGTGAAGTTTATTCATAAACTAATTTCGAGAGGATCACGTGCTTATGATTTATCATGGCCGGTCTCGCATTTGCTAATCAATATCTTCCAATCACATGAGCCCTAAGCTACTATAAATAACCACAGTTTTCAGCTCATTTTATCTTCGTTTGGAAGAAACCCTCCTCCTCCCCTTTTCTCCTCCTTTACTCTGATTGGGCGACACGGCGGCCCAGTGGTTAGCACTGCGACCCCCACAGCAAGAGCACTGCCGGCCCTGGTTCCACAGGACCGGTGGGTGTTTCTGTGAGGAGTTTGTATGTTCTCCCCGTGTCCGCGTGGGTTTTCCACGGGTTCTCCGGTTTCCTCCCACCATCCAAAGACATTCAACACGTATAGCAATCAAGCATTTGTCTAACTCCTCGTGTTCCCTTAGCTACCACAGCAAGGGAGTTCTGAGATCCACCGAGCTCAGGCTCCCCTCTCGCTCTGCCAAAACGGGAGGAAGCCCCGGGCTCGAGGAGTCCTTGAGTGGGATTCTCCACCGTTAAACCTTTCCCAGAAGTCCTACACTGTTGGATAATGTTTTTACTACCATTCTGGGCCATGAAAGATAAAGTTGTGTAGACAGTCGATGGACGGATAGATGGATGGAAAACCAAATGACAAATGTATTCAGAATTTAAGTTCTCGTTCCTGAATGATGCTTATGTTTGAATATATTGAATGATCAGGACAAAGGTCTGTAGAGCAGCTTTAATTGAAGTTATATTAGACCCATTTAACAATTTTACAACACCACCAGTCCAAAACTTTAGATTAAGTTTTAAAAGAGGCCAATTCTGCTCATCAATACTGCATTTGTTTGAACAAAAATACAGTAAAAACTATTAAATTGTGAAATATTAGCGTAGTAATGTCATTTATTCCTGTGACTCACAGCTGAGTTTTCATGTTCATTACTCCAGTCTTCAGCATTACATGAGACTTCAGAAACCGCTATAATATGATTAGGGATGCAACGAATAACTGGTTTCACTATTAACTGCGATTTAATTCATCACAATTAATCAATTGTGAAGGCTTCTCAACACAGCGTTTCTGCACGGATCAAAACTGCAGCAACAAAAGGGGAGCCAACTGTGCGCTAGTTTATTATTAACACACTGTAATAACAAGTAAAAAAATTGTTTATTAACGAATCGATCAATTAATCAATTAATCAAGGAATGAATGAATGAAGAACAGATCATGAAACAAATTAAGGAATGAAGGAAAAAACTAATCAAAGAATGAATGCATAATTCAATCAAGGATTGAATGAATGGTTCAATCAACAAATTGATGAATTAATTAATCATGGAATGAATCAATCAATCAAGAAATGAACGAAAGAAGGAATCAGGAAATGAATGAATGAATCATTCGGTCAATCTAAGAATGAATCGGTAAATGAATAAATGAATCAATCCATCAAGGAGTGAATCAATTGATCAATCAATCAATAATAATAAATCAATAAATCAATAAATCAATAAATCATGGAACCAATACATGTACGAATCAATACAGAAATGATTCAATCAATGAAGGAATGAAAGAATCAAAAAATGATTCAGTTACTCAATCATACCTGTTATCTTTCCTTGACGGATTTTCTGCACTTTATATTTGATAGATGTGCCTGCGAGCAGATAAACGTCGTACGCAGGACTCAAGAGGATGTTTTCCAGGATCAGCAATCTGACCTCAGCAGCACCAACATCCTGAAAAACATATTCAACCAAAAGTACACCACAATCATGAAAACCCAACACGAGGACTGAAATTTCACAACGTATTTCTACACACAAAAAACACACGGCCATTTAGCGTTAAAAGCCATCAGAAATGTGACACAGACCTTATAGATTGACTCCTGTATTTTGGCTTTGAGTTTGGCATGGCCGGTTTTGATTCCTGAAACCAGGACGATGTCTCCCTGATGTCCCACGCGCTCCATCTCAGAGATGTATCCAGGAGGAGTGTATGCCGACTCTGCAAAGCGCAGGATCCTGCAGACAGACAGCCCAACATTACATATGCAGTCAGGCTTGTAGAACAGCACACAGTCAAGATAACGGTACAAAAGTCACTTCATATACAGAAAGCGTATTAAAACCATATTACTTGCATAAAAATGAGTGTTGCATTCAGCATAACAAATAATGTACATAAATAAACTAAAATAAATAACTATGCTTATTCTGGGGGCAGCACGGTGGCGCAGTGGGTAGCACAATCGCCTCACAGCAAGCAGGTCGCTGGTTCGAGCCCCAGCTGGGTCAGTTGGCATTTCTGTGTGGAGTTTGCATGTTCTCGCCATGTTCGCGTGGGTTTCCTCCAGGTGCTCTGATGTCCCCCACAAGTCCAGACACATGTGGTTTAGGTGAACTTGGTAAAGCTGAATTGTCCAAGGTGTATGTTTGCGAATGAGTGTGTATGGATGTTTCCCAGAGATGGGTTGCTGGGAGGGCATCTGCTGCGTAAAAATATATTCTGGATGAGTTGGCGGTTCATTCTGCTGTGGTGACCCCTAATTAATAAAGGGACTAAGCCGTGAAGAAAATGAATGAATGAATGCTTAATCAGGTCTGAGCTTATTACCTGTACTTGCTAAATTGTTACTTTTACATTTCTGTTGAGTTTTGTAGTTTTAATAGGATATAAAATGATTATTGTTTTAAATATTACAAATGAATAAGACTTGCAACCAATCCTGCCAAAGATTTTTGGTACATAAACAACTGTTCAGTGTTGGGGTTATACAATACAAGTAGTGCTGTCAATCGCTTAAAAAAATTAACTAATTAATCGCACTTTTTTTTTTTTTTTTATCGAAATTAATCACATTTAAAAGACTGAAACTTGTTATTTTGGCTATTCAAATGTAAAATTAATGCAAACGCAAGACAAGATGATTGCAGATGATTTTACATTGACTTTTCTTTAAAGTATTTTTGTCACAATCCTAACTATCACACCAAATGCTATATAGTGGCACACTCGAAAATAGAAAATAAAGCAGCTGTTCAGTATGTGCACTTATTTATTTCGTTATGCTGAAAAAGCATGCTGATCCAGATTTCATTGTCAGCCAGCATTGTTGATGCGAGGAAACATGCTCGTACCGTAGGGTGTTGTAGGAGTCAGGGAAACCTGCCATTTCGGCATCCTTCACGATGGTCCACTCAAACAGCAGACTGGCCAGAGTACTGAAGGTGTTTCCTGAGGGAGAATGAAGAACAAGATTACACAGACTGAATCTCTGCACACGTATCCGGATGGGCTAAATCATAGTTACTGTAAACTAATATTAAGTGTTATTGTTCAATGATAAAATAGTGTTTTCATCATTTCCACGTACTGCTCATTTTTTGCCAAACTATGTAAGAGTTTGTTTTAAAAAATGCCATTCATACGATGTTTCTTCTTCTTGTTATGATCAAGATATTCAGATCAAGAATCTTTCCAAAAGCATCATTACATCAGCGTATAGCATATACCAATTAAATTATTTAAATAAATGTTGTTTAAATCAAGCACATTTCCTATTGCAGTCCTTAATTAAACCAATGTGGACAATTTGGGGCACGAAGGTCTCAGATAGGACCCAATTTTGTTTAAGTCATATCACTGTAAAACAGAGGTCTCAAACTCAAATTGGTGATGCGCCATTGCAATGACTGACAATACATAGGAGGGCCATTTTAACATTCAAGCACAAGAAAAACAGTGAAAACCTGACGTGACTGATGCATCGCAGGACAACAGACATGACGTTTATATTTCAAGCATTACCTGTCACCAGTGATAACGCAAATCAGCACGTTTATCACATCACACAGCTGCTGGAATATATATGTGGTTGTTCTGTGTTTATGTCATTCTTACAAAGAGTATATGCAGTCAAAACTCCAGCTTTTTCTATCTTGCTGTACATATTGAAGGGTTAGTTTAAATTACTATGAAAATCCTACCAAAAAATAGGCCTAAAAATAATCATTATTATTCTGTCCCAACAAATTGTTGTTTAACCAAACGTTTAGTCAGAAAGCAGTTTGGGGAACTTTAGTGACTTTACTCCAAATTGTTCTTCTCAATATCTTTCTTTTTTGGAAATATACAACAAACAGGGGAAATGTGTATATTCCTATTCACTTTAACATTTTCAAATGCAACGCAGTAAGCTTTTATGTACCTGTTTTATGTACATTCCATTTTTATATAATTATTATACATGTAGGACAGCAGCGTAATTACAATAAGTGAGATCCGAGACGTGACTCGCCACAGATAATCTGTTGCCGGGGGGGGGGTTAAAGTCCCTGGCGTCTGGCTGAGATCAAGACCTTTTATTACATATGGCAAGCTAAAGCGATAGTAGTTTAGCTACTAGTTTAGTAGTTTAGCTAGTTTAGATAGAAGTAGTGAAAAACACTACTAATTTTCTCTTAAATGAGCACAAACAGTTATTAAAGTAGTCGAATGCTTCATTATAGATCTGTGCATTCTTACATTAACTCATCTGTTATCAAACAAAACACAATGGGAGATTCATTTGCTGCTCTTCACTAAATAACTATAGTAACTTTAATCAATATGCAAATACAATTAAAAGTGAAGTAGATTTTATAGCTTTATTGAATTTCTGGATAGGACATTGATTTTAATAGGCTAAACCTTTTATTTTATTGTCAATATTTTCTAATGTTTGCTATGTATTCTATCATTTGAAGCTATTTGTTGTCCCATATCTTTACATACCAACGTTGACAGATTGCTAATCAATAAATAGCTATAGTGCTATATAAAGCTATAGTGCTATAAATAGCTCTAGTGCTATCTGTTAGTTTTAACGTCAGCTAATGTTATGGAAGGGCATAGATGTTATGGAAAGTAGTAATAGTAATGTAAGTACCCCCATTATTCCTTCCTCAAGCAAATGTGTAAATATTAGATCAATTCAGCGATAACGTTAATTGCATTGGCATATTTATCTGACGTTTTCCCAGCTTGTAGTAGTCGATCAAAAAGCTATTTAGTTTCTTATGACTATACACTAGAGTGGAGTTTACTGCGATGTGACGGGGCTTGATCATAATCCAGGGGCTTGATCAAAGGTTGATCATATTCTCTTCTGAAAAAAGAAGAGGATCTTTTTCAACAACAAAAAATATCACAGTTACAGCCAGCATCCCACAAAAAGCACTTCGAGCCTCATTTTGTGCATATCAAATCGCAAAATCCAAAAACACCACACATTTTTGACTGCTTTGAATGGAGACATTTTTTTTTAACTAATTTTCCATAATAAAATATTATGGTGGGTCTTGAGATTGAATTACTTGCCTAGGTGGGTCCCGGAATAAAAAAGTTAGGGAATCCCAGCAGTAGATTAATAGGTACCGAAAAAGTCCACAGAGGGGGGGTGATCATCAGAATGGCGAAGTCCCAGAGTAAAATGAGAAAATATGATACAGCAGTGTTTTGGAATGTGGAAAAACTGTCTTTACGCTGTTTTCATCTGATTTGTTGAATTTTATTTATACTTTTTTATTCCTGTTCATGTAAAGCACTTTGAATTGCTACTGTGTATGAAATGTGCTATATAAATAAACTTGCCTTGCCACGATGAAGTGTTTGTACAACAAAATACAAGTTGATAATAAAACTGATAATAATCAAATGACCCTGAGAGCTGAGCTACACCTTTGACCTCTCAGCCCCTTCCTGCAAGTCTGAGCAGGTCAGCAGGTTTGACTCACCCTCTGAATCGAGCGCATGGATCTTCAGCTCCAGTGGAGAGTCCTCCAGATGAAGCTCTCGTGTGGTCGACTCGATCTGGATCTCACTGATGACGTCCACTATAGCATCACATCGCAGTACCTGTCCCGTCACTGAAAGCACACCACCAGCAGACTCTCACACCACTGAAGCACTAAACTACATCAGGTCTTACATGGGACAATTGCAGTGTGTGTTAGCAAACAGAAGCTGCTAAAATCACTGTATTACTACAGAAACACACAAAAAAGAAAAACAAACTCTTAAAACCGGCTAACACTTATGTTTAGCCCCAACCCTGCTTCAACACACTTAAGCTGCAATCACAAGAGTTTGTGTGTGCGAAATTCTGTCGCACGGCGTTGCAAAAAGATGCGGGATTAAACAAGATTGTTAGACATTAAAAAAGCGAGCGATTGCTCCATGTTTTACATTTCTGTCCAGAGAGGTCATGTTTTGATCCTCGATTGGTCTTACGAAGTCAAGTGATGCGATTTCGCAGGTCAGAGTTCACCAAGCTTGAACTTTGCACCGCAGCAACCTGCGAAACTTGACGCGTGACCTTGCGTTTCCGGTCTGACGCATTCGCGTGCGTATGAATGGACGTCTATGGGGAGACAAGTCCAGTGTGACCGCAGCTTTACAGGTAGGTTTCTAACAAGCCTGAAGGACTCAATTTGTTTGATCAGGCGTGTTTAATTAGGGTTGGAATTAAACTGTGCAGGAATTGAGTTTGACATCCCTGCCTTAACCCTTTGACTGCCCTCTCTACCAAACGGTTGACCATGTTTTGACTGTTTAAATAATGGTTTACACACACAACTATAGCCCCTTTAACACATACAGACCTTTGGGTTGTATGTGTGAACAGGTCCTTTTTGAAAATACCGGTAAATTCGTTCTGGCTATTTTCCGGAAAGAGAAGTTGTAAGATTACCGGCAATTTGCCGGAATGCTGCGCTGTGTGAACGCAAAAGGAAGATTACCGGAATAAGCGCGTGTACGTCTAGAACGTGCTGACGTGAGACGTCTGCTTTAGCCAATCACAACAGTCAGACGCATTTACGTCCGCGCGGTTTGTGAGAATAAAAACCTTTGAATATTTTTCCAGACACATTTAGCTGCTAGAAGTTAGTCAGATCACGTTTATATGTTCTTCTTTATGCCAAATGTGTAAATAATCGTCGATGACATGCTTATGATAAACCGTTGTTTGTTTACCTTCAAGCTTTGCGTGTGCCTGTGAGCGCCTGCACACGTACATATTATGAACATCTCGACATGTGAAAGTGATCCTGCGAAAGTTGTTCACAATATAGATCATCCACAGAGTTTGTAATTTAGTCAAATGTTTACAAATACAAGCGCAGCCGTTTAAAGCTCATTTGTGGTGAATGATGTCAGAATTTACCGGTATTTTGGAGTGGATGTGTGAATGCTCTTTTCCGGAAAATTTCCGTAACGTCCTCGCCTGTGTGAACAGCGCTTTTTTGAATATACCGGTAAAGTCGTTCCGGAAATTTTTCAGATATTTACCGGTATCACTGTGTGAAAGGGGCTATTGTTGGTTTAAAAAAATAATAAAAATAAATCAAGCAAACATAATCCTGTTGCACAACTACACTTGATTTTGGTTTTATTGTAAAAAAACTAAACAAAAAAAAAACAGGAAAGCATGTTAAATGAGAATTTTAAATATTTTTTCCAGCACACCTCAAAAAATAAAAGTGATTTAATAGTCAAAAATGTTTTATTTTGAATATGTTTTTAATAAATTGGTCTTACACTTCATATTTTCAGATTTTTTATAGTATATGTATTAATTCCGGTACTGTGCGTTACCTAGCAACATTAGTAGTTAAGAAATGCAATCCAACAATTTTTTCCTTCGTGAGGTAGCTAAAAAGTTAAGGAATCAAGTTTGAGAACTATGGCCTAGATTAGGGGTGCCCAAACTGGGTCCTGGACCGCCAGTGTCCTGCAAAGTTAAATTCAACCCCAATCAAACACACCTGGGCTAGCTAACATGAGCTGTGTCCCAAATGGCACACTATACACTATGCACTCATGCACTATGTACTTATGCACTTACACACTCAACAGGATAGTATATGTATGTAGTGCTGTCCCAAATGGCACACTAATGTTTTTTTACTAAGCGGAAATTCAAACCGTTTCCCTGATGATGTTTGACGGTTGCCAAATCAGTGAAATAAACGACTGAATTATCAAGTAATACCTGCGTGAGTATTGCCGCATTTACCATCCGGAGGCGCTATAATCACTCTCGTAGGAGAATTTTTCTTTCACTATCCAAAATAAATAAAGTTATTCAACATGTGCGTCCGATAGCTCCGCCTCTTCCGCTACGTAAGCAAACCTGCGGTCGTTGAGTGCGTGAAGTGTCCATCATTACACACTTCATTTACCGGCTGAATGAGTGCATCATCCGGGTAATTAAAGTGCACTTATTATTTTGAGAGTTTTCAATGTGAACGCACTACTTACACTATTTATACTACAAAATGGCGTAAAATAGTGCATAAGTATGCGATTTGGGACGCAGCTATGGTATATGCCGAGCTAGTGTTTTTCCCATACTGGTAAACTTCCAGTGACCTGTTATTGTGAATTTTTTTCCATTTTATATGGTTCCTTTTACAGTATTGATGTTGTAATTTAATTAAAATACATTGAGTTAAATAAACTCTGCCATTAATTTTGTTGATCAAGCATAAAACGAGACAAAAAGCCTTTTACTCGCACTCGGCCGTCAGAATCGGCAAATTAGCGCAAAAGCTCCATTGAATATACTGCGGTAAAATAAATGCTCATATTATAAAGACATGGCGGAGGGAAATGTAATTTAATGCAGGGCTTCTTGTACAATCTGAGACCCACTTTATATCGGATATCACTCAGCCAGTGGAAATCGCTGATTTTTAAATAAACTGACCTTAAATGAGACGATTTTTGCATTGGCATACAGTTCACCGGAAGCACTTAACCCAGATTACTGTCAAATTAAAAGTCCTATTAGCATGCTTCGGCATATACCCTATTAAGCTCCTACTAGGCTTTCTAGAAATATCTGTGCAGGTGTGTTGAGGCAAGTTGGAGCTAAAATCTGCAGGACAGTTTGGGCACCCTCTGGCCTACATGATCAAAAAAAGACCAGTCAGCTGGCACTCACAGATGTCCTCAGCGAGGATGATACTGGTAAGTCTGGACGGTTGAGTCGAGCGGGCTTGCAGAACCGCCCTGTGAGAGCACTGACGCTCATCCACATCCACAGCCTCGATACTGGCCACCTCCGGCCGGTTGGATGACCTGTGGAGACAGAAAGCACAACAATTTGTCTTGCATCAGAATGATTTCATTTATCCTCTTTCAGCCCTCCTCTTGCTTCTCTACTGGCTGACAATGTTCATGACAATGACCTCTAGAAATCAGGTATATACTCATTTTCAAAATTTTGAATAATCTAAATAATAGTATCATGGACACACGAAAATACCACAAATAATTATTTATCGTGTAATCTTTGAACAAGCTTTTTAAAAATAATATTCATATTGTGCTATTTGGCAGTCACGACAGCACCAAATCCAGGGGTCACCAACCTTTTGGAAACTGAGAGCTACTTCTTGGGTATTGTTTAATGTGAAGGGCTACCAGTTTGATACACACTTCCAAATAACAAATTTGCTCAATTTACTTTTAATTATATGTTATCAATAATTAATGATATTCATCTATGTGAAGACACTGATCATGTTAATGATTTCTCACAATAGTTGTCAACAATGATTTAAAAAGAATAGCTACAAAAAAAATTGGATGCAGCTTACTGGTATGTGGTGCTTTGGTAAGCTAATTTTATAACAGGTCCACAGGCAACTCATGTAATCCTCGCGGGCTACCTGGTGCCCGCGGGCACCATGTTGGTGACCCCTGACCTAATCTGTGTTTAATATTCAAATATGAACATATTTACATGCTAATCTAGCCTACGACATTGACAATTATGTGCTCATTTATTGGCCATTGGTGCATTTGTTAACATCCGTTCAATTCAAATAAAGTCAATGTAATTACAACTATAAGCTACTAGCATATAATCTTACGTGATGATTGAAATATTATGGCTTTTACTCTCTTTTCTTCATCTATTCCAAGCTGATTGGACATCTACACTGTAAGCACTACAGAAATAAAGATGAATTAAAATTAAGTGATGGTAACTAATGCCTAATAAAGCATTCAAATCAAAAGTCATAGTCGAGTTCATGAGTAATAAACTTTTGTTTGTTTGTTTTTTTATAAATGTATCATATAACTATACTATGGCTATTTCTCACTGTTGATTTTAATGCACTAGCTAATGTTTACTAATGAGCATTTATCATAAAATGAGACCTATTGTATAACCCTTTTGCAATTTAATTAGTTTAAGCATGTATTTATTCTAAATATGTATACAAAAAGTAAGACACCAAGTATTTTTGGTGACACATTTAAGTAATCTTATTCACAGTTTAGATCAATATTGTCATAACATTGTATACAGTGACAAAAGCTTGAACGATCAATCATAGAAAGAAAATGTGTCACCGGAAGAAGCCTACTAGATGTCCTACTAGATGTTAATTCTGGGGAATAAACAGTTTTTTTTATTATTTTTAAATTTTTTTAATAAAATAAAAATAAATAAATAATAAAAATAAAATGTATTTTTTTCCATTGTGTCATTTATAGCAGCTAAAGCAGAACAAGCATCACATCCTCTCTCACAGCAGCACCACGTGCTTGAATTTCTCATCGTTATAACAATTTTATTGTTGCATATGACAAGTCCTCTTAATAATTCATAAGGCACCATGTTATCACTGCTGCAGGTACTCAACTTCTGTCACGTGACACGTCTATTCATAACACACGATATATTAGTACATCTTAATAACGCTAATAAATAAACATATAAAGATATATTCCGTGTACTTACCATCGATAACATCCCTCAGTTGCTTCCAGTGTAAAATTAATTTTTGTGCTTCTGGCGAGAGGTAATAAAACTTTAGGTATGTTGAGTTTGGCGGCGTTTGTCAAACTGGACGTCAGGATAAAGAGCAGCACGAGCAGACCGACCTTCTCCATACTTACAGATTAACACTACTATATTTACAGGTTATGGTTATGAAATTAGTCTGCGAGGGTAGCTTGTGCGCGTGCCGGTTTCCTGCAGAATGATATAAAGCTCCCGCCACATCCCTCACAGAGTGACAGCGGTGATGTCCAGACCTGAGCACGCGCTCAGCGCACAGTTCACGAGCAGCGCGGGCACTGTAGCCGGGTCTGTTACTTTCATTATTGTCTGTCTCACTCTTCACTAAGTCAGTGCTTCAAGATTTCAAACAGAAACGAACACACTCAAAATAAAAGACCGTAAAAACACATTAACTTCATGCAGAGCGTTCAAAATATACGCATGTTTGAACGCAAAACATAGTAGCGTGGAAATACCCGCCGTAGGTTACTACTGAGGCGGAGCGATGCATGCTGGGACATGTGCTCCGTCATTCTGAAAAGTGACGAGTTTCCTTAAAGCAACAGCGTGGGGGGTTTTGCTAGAAGGGATGCAGCTTCTAGCTAACAAGTTAGAATTGTTTTAGTTGTTAAATTACACAATAATTGTATTTTATTAAGCTCTAGCCCCACCCCAACCATAACAGTAATGTAAAAACAGAAATTATACCTAGTTTTATTAGTTAAACAACCCATTAAATTGTATTTTATTATTATACTAAGTAGGCTATGTTCATTATTTATCACATTACAAATCAAACTGTATTTAATAAATATACACCAACGCAAAACCTATATATATATTCTTTTTTTAAATTTATTAAATTGTATATAAATTATGTATAATTAAATATATTATTTAAAAAGTATTCATATATATATATGAATGTTATATATATATATATATATATATATATATATATATATATATATATATATATATATATATATATATACTGAATGTTATATATATATACTGAATGTTATATATATATATATACTGAATGTTATATATATATATACTGAATGTTATATATATACTGAATGTTATTGCAACCCCTATTTTGTTAGCCTACATCTTCAAAATAAATTAAGTAAAATCGTCCAGGTTTAAAACAACATGAATGTTTTAGTAAATTTTCAGCTTTATTTATTGTATATGGTTAACATGGAATTATTTTTAACTTTGTGCTAAGCCAAAACACAATCAACTGCAACCAAAGTAAATGGATTTAATAGGATTTAAATTGTAAATCCTAATTTATTTTTATTTGTTTTATTTTAAAGTTTTAGGTTTTTAGTTACTATATAATAATGTCATGTGATGCACCGACAAACAATCCATAGGCAGTAATCTGCAGCAATTTATAAAAATGGCAAGCTCATCTGAGTTTTGCAACAATTTATTAATTTTGACATTAATATCTGTAATTTCAGAATCACAAAATTCTGGAGGGTCTATCAAATTCCTGATGAAAAGTAAAATATGTTTGACTAAAAAAAATAAAGCATTGGCGAATGATGACCCATTTTTTCTTTATATTTTATGAATAACATAACAACTCAGAAGAAATAGAGACGGTCAAGATGAGAACTAACATATGTCGAAAAGAAGCTGTCTTTTTAAAAACATGACACCAGGTGGAGCAAACACTACAAGCTTTAAATGTTACACTGTGGATTTGCCAAAGCAACGTCCAAATAATCAGGGTTTTTTTTTACCGGTAATATCCTCTGATTTTGATATGATGAGTCGTCAGATTCTCCTGTCCACCCTCTCCCTAATGAGCATTACTGGAACCCCCCTCCCCACCCCCCCCACCCCCTGCTGGCTGGAGTTATAATCCATTTATTAATCTGGGGTCGCCACAGCGGAATGAACCGCCAACTTATCCAGAACATGCTTTATGCAGCGGATGCCCTTCCAGCTGCAACCCACCTCTGGAAAACATCCATACACACTCATTCACACACTCATGCACAACGGCCAATTTGTCATACCCAATTCACCTATAGCGCATGTCTTTGGACTGTGGGGGAAACCGGAGCACCCGGAGGAAACCCACGCAAACACAGGGAGAGCATGCAAACTCCACACAGAAACGCCAACTGACCCAGCCGAGGCTATTTTTTATTTTTCGGTAGTCTACAGAATAAACCATCGTTAAAATAACTTGCATAATTACCCTAACATACCTAGTTACCCTAGTTAAGCCTTTAAATATCACTTTAAGCAGTATAGAAGTGTCTTGAAAAATATCTAGGCAAATATTATGTATTGTCATCATGAGTTATTAAAACTATTATGTTTAGAAATGTCTTGAAAAAATCTTCTCTCAGTTAAACAGAAATTGGGGAAACATGGGAGCTGAATTGCACCCAAACTCTGGAACTCTCTACCACACTCACTTCGCTCTGCTAATAATATCTCTGAATTCAAATCCTTACTTAAGACTCACTTATTTTCTGAATGCTTTGCATCTGATCTACCAAACTGACCACTTAATCTGATCCACCACTATCCTGTTCATATGTCTCTTAGGTTTCGATTGTGTTATTCATGTTTGTTATATTTGACCTCATGTATGTTTGTTTATCCTTTTGTTGCATTCCTTGTAAAGTGTCCTTGAGCTCTGGAAAGGCGCTATATAAATAAAAATTATTATTATTATTATTATTATAATAATTCAGCGATAGACACTTTTTTGTAAAAAAAAAAAAGCTGTTTGTTTCTTTATACAGCCTAAAAGTAAAGTAAAATTGCTGCAGTTTATAGTTTGACCTACAGTAACCTCTGAAATGGCAAATCAGGGTATACTTTATGACAGAATACACTAAATATCTCTCAAAACACTGAAAACTTAAAAACAATTCATTAAAAAGTGAGATATAGTAGAAATAAATACTTACATTTGATTACTTTAAGCATGTTTCACACAAATATTACCGAAAAAGTTGACCCCCTTGATCGTTAATGTATAATTTGCACCCTGATGGGAAGTACCCATAAAGATAGTTGTACAAGAGTGTGTGAGCTTACCATATGAATTAAACACAGCTCGGAGCAATTTAGCTTGAGCACCTATTGACATCACTGTCATCCAAGACACTGAAAGGGTTAAATACGAAACAAATCTATTTCAGCAGTCCGTCTGTCTATACATTAGGAACAAAAAACCCGACACCAAAATGTGACTATTCTGTAGATGTGACCCTGCACATGCATGCAGGGTTTGCATATATTAGACAAACTGTCATATTTCAGAAACTGACTTTTGCAAGACACAACAGGCAGATCTTTCACGGCCGCATACCACAGAAACCGCATTCTAACTATTATTTTCTTCATCTTTTCCCCCCTACAGGTTGGGTGACACTATCCTGTGTACTCCTTCCAAAAAGATCTCCGCTTCTGTAGGATGCATATTTGTTTTCCCTAAAGCAACTGCGTAAAGTGTCTCTCATTTCAAGAAGTCAAACCACAGAGCGGGGATCTGCGTGATGAGGCTTGAATTATATGCCTATGATACTATAGTGTTTTTATCTAGACGTAGGACAGCATAACTTTGATCCCAAAACATTTCCACCCTAAGATGTGTCCCAAACACAGGTTTACAATTCCTTTTGATTTTCTCCTTCACTCAAAAGAATGATGTTTGCTGTTTGTTCAAGCTACTTGTCTAAAATGAGCTGAATCAACACAATTCTTGGGTTTGTTTTGGGACAACTTAATTGTTTCATGTTAAATCCGCTTACATTTGTTAAAACAATTAAGTTAACTTTATCGATTTGTGTTGGGACAACATAAAGAAATTGAATGGAATGCAGTGTTTTTTTACAGTGTTTATCAGAATAGACTAAAAATGCAGGATTTTACACAGGGAGCTAATAAAATGCCAAAACAATCTAAATTTGAATAGTGTTTATTTGAATTATTGACAATTGTACAGTGCATCCGGAAAGTATTGATAGTGCTTCACTTTTTTTCACATTGTTTTATGTTACAGCCTTATTCCAAAATGGATTAAATTCATTTATTTCCTCAAAATTCTACACATAATCCCCCATAATGGCAATGTGGAAAAAGAGTTTTTGAAATTGTTGCAAATTTATTAAAAATAAAAGACCTGAAAACATGCACATCAGTGTTCACAGCCTTTGCGTTGATGCCCCTTTGGCAGCGATTACAGCCTCAAGTCTTTCTGAATATGATCACACAAGCTTGACACACCTGTCTTTGGTAATTTTTGCCCATTCCTCTTTGCAGTACCTCTCAAGCTCTATCAGGTTGGATGGGAAGCGATGGTGTACAGCCATTTTCAGATCTTTCCAGAGATTATCAATAGGATTTAGGTCTGGGCTCTGGCTGGGCCACTCAAGGACATTCACCGAGTTGCTGTGAGGCCACTCCATTCATAATTTGGCTGTGTGCTTTGGGTCATTGTCCTGCTGGAAGATGAACCGTCGCCCCAGTCTGTGGTCAAGAGCACTCTGAAGCAGGTTTTCATTCAGGATGTCTCTGTGCATTGCTGCGTTCATCTTTCCCTCTATCCTGAGTAGGCTTCCAGTTCCTGCTGCTGAAAAACATCCCCACAGCATGATGCTGCCACCACTATGCTTCACTGTAGGGATGGTAGTAGCCTGGTGATGAGCACTGCCTGCTTTTCTCCAAATGTAACGCCTGGCATTTACCCCAAAGAGTTCAATTTTAGTCTCATCAGAGCAGAGATTTTAGTTTCTTATGGTCTGAGAGTCCTTCAGATGCCTTTTGGCAAACTCCAGGCGGGGTATGGTTTTTGTCTGGCCACTATACCATACAGGCCTGATTGGTGGATTGCTGCACAGATGGTTGTCCTTCCGTAGGGTTCTCCTCTCTCTACAGAAGAACGCTGGAGCTCTATCTATCGAGATATTGATCACCTCCTTGACTAAGGCCCTTCTCCCGTTATCATTCAGCTTAGATGGCCGGCCAGCTCTAGGAAGAGTCCTGGTGGTTCCAACATCTTCCACTTACAGATGATGGAGGCCGCTGTGCTCATTGGAACTTTCAGAGCAGCAGAAATTTTTTCTGTAACCTTCCCCAGCCTTGTGCCTCGAGACAATCCTGTCTCAGAGGTCTACAGACAATTCCTTTGTCTTCATGCTTGGTTTGTGCTTTAACATGCACTGTCAACTCTGGGACCTTATATAGACAGGTGTATGCCTTTTCAAATCATGTCCAATCAGCTGAGTTTAGCACAGTTGAACTCCAATGAAGCTGCTGAAACATCTCAAAAATGATCAGTGGAAACAGAATGTACCTGAGCTCAACTTAGAGCTTCATGGCAAAGGCTATGAATACTGATTTACATGTGATTTTTCAGGTTTTTTATTTTTAATAAATTTGCAACAATTTAAAAAAACGTTTTTTTCACATTGTCATTATGGGGGATTGTGTGTAGAATTTTGAGGAAATAAATTAATTTAATTTAT